CAAAATCCTGGAGGTCAGGAAAAGGCTGGGATTGAGCCACTGCATTTGACCAGAGGCTGCTGGCAAGCACACGAGCAGTCTCCAGTGAGGACAACAGCCAGAAAACAGACAAAAGTCTGAGGATGGAGACGTTTCAATGACTTGGAGGAGCAAACACAGAGCAACAAGAAGGGAAAATGCAGAGTTAAGGTTAGATTTTAGGCCGGGTACTGTGGCTCATACCTGTAATCCCAGCTTTGAGAGGCCAATCCAACACCTGAGGTCAGGAGTTACAGACTAGCCTGGCCAACATAGTGAAACCCTGTCTCTACTAAAAATACAAAAATTAGCTGGGCATGGTGGCATGCACCTGTAATCCCAGCTACTCTGGAGGCAGAGGTCGCAATGAGCCAAGATTGTGCCACTGCACTCCAGCCTGGGTGACATAGGGAGACTCCGTTTCAAGAAAAACCAAACCAAACCAAACCTTGGGATTAACATTCCTTCTGACTTTGGTGTTTTGCAGCTGAGGTGACAGTGGACATGGAAATACAATAACAAAAAAAATCTGAGCACGGACAATGTGGTGAAATCCCATCTCTACGAAAAAAACCACACATGTAAGACACTTCACCTGCTTCCCATTCTAATTGAACATATGTAACAGCCCTAACAGTGCCATATATGCAACAGGCACTCAAAAATATTAACAACAGATTGGTGATACATGGAAACTAGAATTCAAAGTGAACTTTTCTCAGAAAAGCCAGAGTACATAAAGTTGACAATTTCAATGTTAACACATTTCCAGGTTACACACACTTCAGAGAAAGTATCTCGAAGCTCCTTGCTTTCCATGAGGCCACTCAATGTCACCACCATGCTAAGGTCAACCAGCTTTAGCTGTAACTACCAAACCAACCAGTATGGGAGACCCTACTGATTCCCAATTAAGGCCTTCAGCCTGTTAACGTATAAGATGCAAAGAAAAACGTTGGTATAGTTTTCAAAACCAGGATTGAGAAAGTACACGGCCTCACATTCTTTTAACAGTACATTTATCCAAGTTTGAAATACACCGAACACCAGCCATGGCTTCTTTCACTGCGGAGCTTCCTAGGGACGGGGATGCATTCAAGCCCCTCTCGCTACTGCACAAAACAGAGGCCAGGCATGGCGGCTCATACTTGTCATCCCGGCACTTTGGGAGGCCAAAACTGGTGGATCACCTGCGGTTCGAGACCATCCTGGCCAGCATGGTGAAACCCCATCTCTACTAAAAAATACAAAAAATTGCCAGGCATCTACAATCCCAGCTGCTTAGGAGACTGAGGCACGAGAATCACTTGAACCCAGAAGAGTTTGCGGTTAGCCAAGATTGCACCACTGCACTCCAACCTGGGCACCACGAATGAAACTCCATCTCAAAAAGTCAAAGGAATGTCCACAAGCATTCCTAGACATCACAGACATGTCCTACAGGCAAGATTTGATCCTGGTCCAACTGTGTACTTTCTACTAACCTGCCCAGTATGTCTACTCATTGTCCTTTCATAGACTTTAACCTATTAAAAACACACAGCCTCTCTCTCCAGATTCTAGACGAGTCTAGCCAGGGATAAATGCCCATAGCTAAGTAACCCTGGCCATCACCAATAGTGCATGGCAGACCTCTCTTTGCTAGGGCTGTTCAGGTTTGAATCGCCCCACGATGCAGTCATTGGTTGGGGAGAAGACTTTGAGAGCACATTTCCAGTTCATCTGTAGTAATCACTTTGTGAAGATTTTATTTTACTTTGCTAACAGGGACCTTATTTTACTGCCCCAAATAAAAAGCCAGACATGAAGAATGTGAGCCAAAGATTTATTTATTCATTTCTTGCATTTGAAGTACTCTTCGATAACATCCTTGGCCTGAGACTCCTTTCCATAGTCCTTAAAAAAAAAACACATGCCATTTCTTGTTAACATTTAGGAATTTCACCAAGTTATTATTATCAACTACAGTGGAGCTTCAACAATTAGCTATGTCTTATAAATATGTTTCTCATCACTAAGATTTGTTATAGCCACTTTCAGGGACCTTAACGACTTCAATGTCCTTAAGGCTCGTAACATGGCTTTACTATTGCCAGTTTTTAAAGTATGTCTGCACAAACACAATCAGGTAAGCAGATTCATTGGCTGGCTTATAAATTACAGCTTTTATTTTTTTCTGAAATGCAGAAAATGCTTTAAACCTGTTGAATCAGTTTTTTCCTTTTTTAAGATCCTCAACTTAATTTCAATACAAGGTGTTATATGATTACCTAGCACAACCTTCATCCCTAAAATAAATGGTGACTTACCTTAACTACTACACAACTGCAACCAACCACTTTACGGGGTTTCCCCTCTCTGTCAATTTTACAGAGGCCTACCCATTCTCCTAGTTTCTTGTTGTCATCAACCTATTGGGAGAAAATTTAAAAAAAAAAATCATATTAATAGACATTAACACTACCAAAAATAAATTCAACCCAAAAGGTGGCTGTAGTCAGAAGGGTGACATGGCAGTTTCCTCATGGCAGTTCAGTAGAGGGAGCCAGTTGTCATCATGTACAGCACAAAGATCACCTACAAGCCTACTAATCTTCGTTGTATACCAACGTCAAAATTAGCATTCAATTCTGCAGGTATAAAATGCTTCTACCTACAATCATCTTTAAAATGGCCAACAGTATCAGGTGCACGTAATGTTTACACCTGCACAAAATGAAGAGCTTGAGACTTCACAAAATTGACCCTGGTATACAAGCATCACTGAACATTAGTCCCAACACAATCCTTAGCAGCCTTACCTTAATTAGGTTGATCTGATGTTCAGCACAAAGGGCCTCCACCAACTTGACATACATAGGCTCATCACAGTTGGATGCAAGCACACAAAGATGGGCCTGGCGCCTGAAATTCAAATTACAATGAAAATGAAGCTAAAACTCAGATCCAAATCCATCATTCTTGCATTTTAGGAGTTTTCTTTGCACTAACACTTGCAAAACATAAGCAGCAAATCTATTTAACACATAAATGTGTACAAAATTGCCTGAGTCTGAAGAACCTGCTAGGTAGCATATACATCCTTCAATTAACCTACAACTGGTTTTCAGTAAAACCTCTTTCCCTGACACACTGAATTGGTATAAAGGCATTTTTAAAACTTGTGGCCAAATCCCAACCATAATGGCTTTCTTGTAAGCCAGCTTCATACATCGTAAGAAACATGTGAAAGGCCGGGCGGCGAGGCTCACTCCCATAATCTCAGCACTTTGGGAGGACAAGGGGGGCAGATCATCTGAGGTCAGGAGTTCCAGACCAGCCAGAGACCAACATGGCGAAACCCCATTTCTACTGAAAGTACAAAAACTAGCTGGGCATGGTGGCATGTGCCTGTAATTCCAATAATTGCTTCAACCTGGTAGGTAGAGGTTGCAATGAGATCGCGCCACTGCACTCCAGCCTGGGCAACAGAGAGACTGTCTCAAAGGAAAAAAAAAAAAGCTGTGGCATTAATGGAACAGTTATGAAATGCCTTGCAATACTGCCGAAGTAGAAATAATACATAAGATTCATACTAGAATCTACTAAATACATTTAACAATAATGCCGTTTCCATCGGATTCAACTGGCTAGATTACACCAAAACGAACTGAACTTGTCCTGTAAAACCTTAAAACTGCATTTAAATTCAGCTCAAAAGTAGGTTGTCAATGCAACCACCATAAAAAACACATTAACTCGATCCATTCAAAATACATTAATAAATATCCCAAATTAAAATAAATTTTACATTTTAAAATAAATTTTAAAATAAATTTTAAAATTAATATTCCTACACCTAGGACCAAATGCTTCTGAAACCTGAGTTTGAAATTCCATTAATGTAATGCTTGTTTTGCAAACTGCCAAACGTAATGTGGCTCTCCATCTCATCTCTCCGCCTAAGTATAAAACTGACTAGCCCCACAACCTACAGGTTTGTCAGACTCTTACATTTCACTCATAAAAGGAGTGAAGGGGTATCCGACAATTTAAGTCATCATTCAAACACTGTAGTTTTGAGTGCTTATCCCCGTTCCAACAGCCACCCACACATTTTAAGTGGGCTTTATAGATCTAAGTTCTGATACCTTTTCCTAGGTTTCCTGTAGGACGGATGCCATTCAGAACTTTTGCGCTAACACCATGAACTCCACGCCTTCTTCCCTTGGGTGGCAGTTTTGTTCCGGTTGCAAGAACCCACAGTATTGAGACTGATACACGTACTTGTCTAAGGCTTTGGCAGCTTCGCGAATTCCACGTGCTAGGCCATCGTGGATGAGGGCGGTCTTCAGCACCTCTTGTAAAGCAGTATTAACGTCCATTACACCTCCAGCAGCAATGCTGAAACACGACACATCAGAACCATCAGTTAAAATCCTCACACCGCATAACGCCTTGACCTCAGAAAAGACCTAGTGTACAACAGAAGCGCTTACGGCAACCCGTTCGACCCAGTCCTGCTCCGCCAGCTGCAGGCCCACGCCTCAGCCGAACCCCGACCCCAACTCCAAACCCGGCCCCTGGGCTCACCCTTCCTCGGCCATGGCGGTGGGTTACGGGTGAAGCGGAATCTTGAACGCACTGAAAAACAAAAGCATTAACCTGCTAGAAAACCAAATACTTGTAACTAATCCCTGTAAAAACACAACGAGCCACGAATCACAACCAATACAACCGGGCCGCTTCGCAAAACTTACCCCAAGCCTCCGCCTCCGCGCGACTCCGCGGCGGCAGGGAAAGAGGCCTCATCAGCCCGCATGACGGTATTTAAGGGTTTTTTCAGGCCCCCTGTGCGCATGTGCACTCCCACCCTCGAAAGAGGTGGCTCTCGCGGTGCCGGGCCTGGGGACTTTCTGTTTCCGGATTCAGGCGGTCCTGAGGCAAGAGTACTGCGAGTTTTCTGTGTCTGCCAGGCCAGTCCTTGGCGAGTGCAACAGGCACTACGTGGGCAGCTTCGCGTTGTCCTTCTTTAAGGGGGCGTGGCTCACAGAGGCCCACGGAACTCATTCTACGGAGCGCGACAGGAGACAAACAAGTTGTTCCGCGTGGTCTTTAAGGCACCTGGAGCCTTGTATCCCGCCGAGCGCCAGTTTTAACCCTTTCCACACCACGTTCTACTTTCCCCTCGCTTCCACAAGACCCAGTCTTCCCAGGCAGCGCATTTTGTTCCTTCGCTCCTAAGTCACCCTGAGAGACCCCCATGATTGTGTCGTTGTGGGTGTGATCCTCATCTTTGTCTTCATGAAACGAGAACCAACACGCTTTCACTATTCCAGGCTGGAGTGTAACGGCGCGATCTCGGCTCACTGCAACCTCCGGCTCCCGGTTTCAAGCGATTCTCCTGCCTCAGCCTCCCGAGTAGCCGGGATTACAGGCGCCTGCCACCACGCCTGGCTAATTTTTTGTATTTTTAGTAAAGACGGGATTTCACCATGTCGGCCAGGGTGGTCTCGAACTCCTGACCTCAGGTGATCCTCCCGCCTCGGCCTCCCAAAGTGCTGGGATTACAGGCGTGAGCCACTGCTCCCGGCTGCTTTCACTCTTTCTAAGCACTTTCCCTGCGGTGTGTTGGTAAAGGGGGACCCTGCAGCCAGGGGGTCAATTCTAGTTTCTAAATATAGGGGGAGTCGCTTCTGAACGAAGTTTGTTCTGCTTTGTTTGTTTTTTAAGGATGGATTGTGCTCGGAATACACAGTCCCGCGCAAATCAGAATTCCTCAGGTGCATTTTCAACACCTACAATGTGCCTGACGCAGGGCCAGGACTACAGACATGAAATATCCAGTCTTTGAGGAATCCATTTTCTTACGGGAAGCAACATTTTAAATTTGGAAGTGATTGACCATTCCCCAATCCCCACTTCCAAAGCAAACGCACGAAACACTACTGAATATGATCAATACTGCCTTTGTGTTTAATTTCCTCTCCTGAGTAGTCAGCCGCCAATCCAGTGAGCAATTATTAGGCGCTTGGCACGTGCCAGCGCTGTGAATCCAGTGAACAGATACTGTTAGACTGGTGAGTGCAGCGAAAAAAACAAAACTGGATAACGCGGTAAGAGCGCCAGGGAGTTCATCAGAACAGAGACCTGCTGTAATGTTAATAAACTGATAGAGTTCAGTTTTAGATTTTCCGCTGGTTTCAGTTTCATTTTTAAAGCGTTCAAGCTGCTTCTCTGTCAGTAACTCATGCAAATGTTTATTGAGCTTTTGATTAAAGAAAAAGAAAACGCGGAATTTATAAAGATAAGGATTCATTCCTGCTGCCCTGGTTTGTTTGTGGTGGGAATAAGATTTAAGACAAAAATCAGAATACCTCAGGGCCACAGAGGAGATAAAAGTGACAGGGGGTTAGGGAGTGGGGGATCGTGTGGAAAGGTAAGAAGAGGACCTCAGGCTTCTGGCAGCAAAACAAAAACTAAGGGATTCCAAATCGGCGAGCGTGGAAGGAGAGGACAGGGTATTCTAAATGGATGAAAGTGTAGGGGCAAAGGTGTGAAGGCCTTCTTGCCTATTTTGGAGGTTATAGTTAACACGTTTGTATTTTTTAAGGAGAATGTGGCAAATAATCTTTCAGCATATTTCTTATTATTTAAAGATAGTAAAGTTAATATGCTAAGTATATTAGATTCCTTCCCCAAAAGAGTTTTTAAGGAAGAAGCAGGGAATTTGGGAAACCTAAGTGTGAAAACAATCACTGGCAAACAGCATATTTATGTGGGGGGAAATGATCAAGTGTCTTGTTAGCTAAGGCAGTTGTTCCCAGTACCAGCCAACTCAGACTTGGTCTCTATCTTTTAGCAGCTGCTAATCTGTTCTGTTGACTCAGACATCGTGGATCTCTGCTTTAATATCTCACTGCACTAAATGTCCTTTCACACAAACCTCCCTCCTTAGACCTGGAGCTACATTTTTTTTAAGTCCTACTTATAAAACCAGCTCTAACCCCCAAAATGAAGTCAAAGGGCACACTGGTGATACAGGGGTTCTTTAATATAGATTTTCCTAGTTCACTTTTTTTTTTTTTTTTTTTTTTTTTTGAGGTGGAGTTTTGTTCTTGTCACCAGGCTGGAGTGCAGTGGCGGGATCTTGGTTCACTGCAACCTCTGACTCCCGGGTTCAAGCAATTCTCCTGCCTCAGCCTCCCGAGTAGCTGGAATTACAGGCACCCACCGCTACGCCTGGCTAAGTTTTGTACTTTTAGTAGAAAGGGGGGTTTCATCATGTTGGCCGGGCTAGTCTCGAACTCCTGACCTTGGTTGATCCGCCCACCTTGGCCTCCCAAAGTGCTTGGATTACAGGTGCGAGTCACTGCGCCCAGCCTCCTAGTTCACATTTTTAAGGTTACCTCCTCTCAATTTCTGAGACTGGTAAAGGTGGGAGACTACACAGAGGTTAGTGACTGGTCACTGTTATACCAGCAGAGTATAACACATCATGTGCACAAATATGAATCTGACACACATATGAAAACCAAATGTATTCTAAAGTTTGTTTTAGGAACAATACTGATAGTAAGAGGTAACTTGTTTCACTTTTTCTATATGCCAGGTAAGGTGCTAAAGTCTTTTCAGGCATTTTTGCCCTTTATTGTTATAGAGACTGTATCTGGTAGTGATGGTATTAGCCCACTTTAACAGGTCAGGAAGCCAAGGTTTAGGTAGTTGCCCAAGATCACACAGCTAAGAAATGTGGAAGCTGGTATTTAAGCTCAGTGGACTTCAAAGCCTGTGCTCCTAACCCTTCAGTCGTTTGATTGATTGCCAGAATGTGGAAAGGAGATTGCTGAGAATTCAAGAATTACTCTTTACATCTCTGGTTTGGCAACAGTACAACTGGTTCTATCCCGCTGTGCTAAAAACTATATAGATGGAGGAAGGGAATATTGCTGTTAGGCAGAAAAATTTGCATTTGGATTTCTGAATTATCTAAGTGTAGATGTGTAGTTTACTAGGGCTGCCATAACAAAGTACCACAAACTGGGTGGCTTAACCAACAGAAATCTATTATCTCATAGTCCTGAAGGCTGGAAGTCTGAAGTCAAGGTGTTGGGTGAGTTGGTTCCTTCTGAGGGTGTGAGGAAGAACCCATTTCACGCCTCTTTCCTAGCTTCTGGAGGTTTGTTGGCAATCTTGGTGTTCCTTGACTTGTGTTAGCATAACTCCAGTCTTTGCATGATGTTCTTTCTGTGTGCATGTCTGAGTTTGCTTCTGAATGTTTCCCTTTTATAAGAATATCAGCCATATTGGATTAGGGGCCCACCTGCTCCAGTATGACCTCGTCTTAACTGATTACATCTCCAACAAACCTATTCCAAATCAGGTCTTATTCTGAAGTAGAAGATGTTAGGATTTCAACATGTGAATTTTGAGGGAACACAGTTCAACTCATAACAGATGACAAAGAAGGAGGAGATATAGAATGATCAAATGAAAGAAAGCTTTTTTGAGATGAACTGCAAAAAAACTTACTTGGAAGACCAGAGCTGGAGAGAAAAACCGGGCTGAGACATAATCATGATTTTATATCATGGAGTGGTCAGGAGGACCCAACTGTGCAGGGTTAAAATTCCAGCTTACTTTGTGACCTTTGGCAAGTTATTTTCTTTCTGAGCTAGTAAAATGGTGGTAATGCCATAATATTTCTGTGAGGATTAAATGAGATAGGCATTTAAAGTGTTTACCACTATGCCTGTAAAGTAATTTACCTTATAAAGAACTTCACATGAAAATACATGGAAAGGTTCTTAAATATTACCTTGCTCGTGTCCTAAACCATCCAGCACTTAGTACAGTGAATTGCATATTGGAGGCTAAACACATGTGTACTGAATGAATTCACTGAGTGAAATAAGATTAAAGAAACCTCCTGGGGCCAGGTGCTGTGGCTCAGCCTGTAATCCCAGCACTTTGGGAGGCTGAGGCGGCGGTCACGGGGTCAGGAGTTTGAGACCAGTCTGGCAAGTGGTGAAACCCTGTCTCTAAAAAACAAAAATTAGCCAGGTGTGGTGGCAGGCGCCTGTAATCCTGGCTACTCAGGAGGCTGAGGCAGGAGAATCGCTTGAACCCAGGAGGCGGAGGTTGCAGTGAGCCGAGATCACACCATTGCACTCCAGCCTGGGCCACAGAGCAAAACTCCGTCTCAAAAAAAATAAAATAGGCGGGCGGTGGTCACGCTTAATCCAGCCTTTGGGAGCCGAGGGGCGGATCAAAGGGCAGGAGATCGAGACCAGGTGAAACCCCGTCTCTATAAAATTAAAAAAATTAGCCGGGCGGTTGGGGCCTGTAGTCCAGCTACTCGGAGGCTGAGCAGGAGAATGCGTGACCCGGGAGGCGGAGCTTGCAGTGAGCGAGATCGCGCACTGCACTCCAGCCTGGCTGGGGACAGAGCGAGACTCCGTTCAAAAATAAATAAATAAATAAATAAATAAAAAAAAAAATAAAAAAAATAAAAATAAAGCCTCTTGAGTAGATGTCATACTTAAAGGAAAGCCATGTTGAGGACTACCGTAATAAATTAGCATCTGTTGTGAGTTAGTTGGAAGCTTTGAGCATCCCAGGAAATCACTTTTAATTTGAAAACTTCAAGTGTCCCTACCTTTGGGGTAGGGAGTAGAAACTAAATACGATGGATGAGTGATAAGAAATAGGAGAAAAAATTAAAACATGCTCTACTGCTGCAACTCAGAAACATATAGGCTTAACTCTCATTTATTATACCATGTAGTTTTAAACATAATGAAGAAAAATTAGTCATAGCTGAAGAAAGATTTGAATAGAATCCCATTACATCGAAGGAAGAATTAAAGGAAAAAGAGAAGTAGCAAAGAGAGAAAAAAACAGAAAATAAGAAAGCAGATGGATTAGCAAGAGTGGAATAGACTAATAAAGGCTGTCGGTAGTAGCTTGTAAAGTTAACATGTTTATTAAGTGAAAACAAGGTTGTAGGGGAGAATGCGGTTAGATGATTATATAGCTAAGTATGAAGCCTGTGCCAATAGCTTATATTTTTGGAGGGTTTTGTGTAATTATCATCTAAGTTTGCACAAGTCTTAGTAAGAATATATCTTCACCTGCTTGTTTTGTAGTTTTTATCTGGTGTTTTTTTTTCTTTCTTTCTTTAGAAACAGGATCTTGCTATGTTGCACAGGCCGATCTTGAACTCCACTGTGCCCAACCATCCACTTTTTTTTTGGTTTTTTTTTTTGCTACCAGATGTTACCCAGAACTCTTGGGTACTGTAACAGCACACTACAGGGCTGACTTAGAGTTCATGGAAACTAAACAAACATACTATGGAATATAATTAGAGATAATACTTCATAAGTATTATCCCGTGTAGCTGGGATTACAGGCGCCTGCCACCAAACCTGGCTGATTTTTATAAATAAACTAATTATAAACCAACTACACAGTTTTATTTTTTTTTTGTTTTTGTTTTTTGTTTTTGAGATAGAGCCTCACTTTGTCACCCAGGCTGGAGTGTAGTGGCACGATCTTGGCTCACTGCAACTTCCGCCTCCCGGGTTCAAGCAATTCTCCCGCCTCAGACTCTCGGGTAGCTGGGATTACAGGCACCTGCCACCACGCCTGGCTAATTTTTGTATTTTTAGTAGAGATAGGGTTTCACCACATTGGCCAGACTGGTCTCAAACTCCTGACCTCAGGTGATCCACCCGAATCAGCCTCCCAAAGTGCTGGGATTACAGGCATGAGCCACTGCACCTGGCCGCTACACAGTAATTTATAAATGAAATAAAGAGTAGTGGCGGGTAGAGCAAAGCTTAAATTAACATTAAATTGATTCCCTTAGGATACAAAGAGGGCTTGTGTGGGTGAGACTCCAGCCCTCTCTGCTGCTTCCTCTGCTGTTATCTGTGCAACGTTTCTTTTGAAAATGGGTCCTGATGCTCTAAAATGTATTTGATGCCTGCACTTCTTATTAGGGAATCATTAGAATGAAGTCAGTACCACTCCTATCCTTATAACTGAAACTACATTTTTAAAAAAAAAAGTCCTATTTTTATAACTGGTTCTAACACTACAAATGAATGTGAAGGGCAGACTGGTGATTCTAGGACTCGATGTAGATTCTCCTCTCTACCATTTTCTGACTCTGTAGCCTTGGTCAAGAGACTTCCAATCTCTGGATCTCAGGTACTTCATCTGCAAAATGAAGTAGGCAATTATACGAGATACCTTTAAGCACTTTTTTGGTTTCAGTATTCTACATCATTATTTTCAAACAATTTTCACTGTTAGTAAATGTTGAACATCTATGCTGTCTGCTATATTAGTTTTCTGATTTTACTTGACTTTATCCACATGACTATGAGCTGTAGTTAATGCCCGCTTCCCTCCTATGTCTCCAACTTACAGATGATGTCTTCATTTGTAAATAACAGCTATGGCTTTTTAAATATTAGAATCAGTAAGCATGTTCATTGTAGGAGATTTGAATAATACTGTATCAGTGATAATTCTTTCCAAGCAGCAGAATGAGCTGTGGCCAACATTTTAAAATGAATTTGTTGGAAATGTACTGGATGGCTCAGAGAATAGAACAGTTTGTTTGCGCAGCCAGGTCTAGGGAATAGTAAGAATAGAACGGTTTGTTTGAGCAGTCAGGTCTAGGGAATGGTAGGAATGTAATAGTTCCAGGGGTCTTGGTTATAGGACCTCATCAAAAGTCTCTTAAGGCAATGCTTTACAAAATGACTATCTATCTGAGGATTTTTCACTCAATTCATCACAGATTATTAGTTTAATAAAATGCAACAAATATTAATTAGTGGGAGGTTCTGCAAGACTATCCTTCTTACAGATAACTAAGGTAACTCTGAAAATGTATCAAAACAAAAAATAACTACCTGAAGACACTGGAGAGTGACAGAATTTGGGGATAGTTGTGGGGACCAACACCGAGAGGAAGGAATGACACTGGCTTATTTTCCATTTTTATGAGTGTTAGCATGAGGACACCCTTAGTCAGTGCTACATGGAACAACTAATAGAGTTCCTCAGTTGTAATGCCTTAAAAACCAGAGAACAGAGTTGTATTAGTCAGGGTTCTCTAGAAGGACAGAACTAATGGAATATATATATTTATACATATATAAAAAAATAACATATTATAATATATATTATATTTTATATGTTATGTATGTTATATATTATATATGTTATATATTATATATGTTATATATATTTTATATGTTATATATATTATATATGTATATATGTCATATACATATATAACATAAAAATATATATGTATATATGTCATATACATATATAACATATAAAATATTTATATATAGATAGTATATATATGTATTTTTTTGAGACAGAGTTTTGCTCTGTTGCCCAGATTGGAGTGCAATGGCATGATCTCAGCTCACTGCAACTTCTGCCTCCTGGGTTCAAGTGATTCTCCTGCTTCAGCGTCCTGAGTAGCTGGGATTACAGGCATGCACCACCATGCCTGGCTAATTTTTATATTTTTAGTAGAGATGGGGTTTCACCATGTTGGCCAGGCTGCTCTCAAACTTCTGACCTCAGGTGATCCACCCGCCTCAGCCTCCCAAAGTGCTGGGATTACAGGTGTGAGCCACCGCACCAGAACCATATATATAAGGGGAGTTTATTAAGTATTAACTCACACAGTCACAATGTCCCACAATAGGCCATCTGCAGGTTGAGGAGCAAGGAGAACCAATCTGAGTTCCAAAACTGAAGAACTTGGAGTCCAATGTTCAAGGGCAGGAAGCATCCAGCATGGAAGAAAGATACAGGCTGGGACGCTAGGCCAGTTTCTCTTTTCACATTTTCTACCTGCTTATATTCTAGCCAGACTGGCAGCTGATTAGATTGTGCTCACCCAGATTAATGGTGGGTCTGCCTTTCCCGGCCGACTGACTCAAATGTTAATCTCCTTTGGCAACACCCTCACAGACACACCCAGGATCAATACTTTGTATCCTTCAGTCCAATCAAGTTGACACCCAGTATTAACCATCACAAGAGTTTAGAATAACCATGGCACTGGAAATTGAAGAAAGTAGGGAAATCCTAGAAAGGAGAGAGCCAGAGAGGGGAAAACCAAAATTTTCCATGTATACTCTGCCTCAATCTCTGGCTGAACCCTGAATTACACATACATAGGGTAGCACGGTGGCTTATGCCTGTAATCCCAGCACTTTGGGAAGCTGAGGCAGGTGGATCATAAGGTCAGGAGTTCAACTTGATTAAACTTGGTTAACCAAGTTGAACTCCTGACTAACTTGGTTAAACTCCGTCTCTACTAAAAATACAATATTAGTTGGGCATGGTGGAGCATTCTTGTAATCTCAGCTACTCAGGAGGCTGAGACAGGAGAAGTGCTTAAAACCTGGAAGGCAGAGGTTGCAGTGAACTGAGGTCCCGCCACTGCACTCCAGCCTGGGCAACAAGAGCGAAACTCCATCTCGAAGAAAAAAAAAAGAGAGAGAGAGAGAGAAAGAAAACAATATTCAAAACCTTCCCAAATTTGGTGAAACACATAAATTCAGGTTCAAGAAGTTCAGTGAACCCCAAGAAGAATAAATACACACACATATACACACCTAGGCATATCATAAGTGAGATATTAAAACTCAAAGATGAAATTACAGTAGCATTTAGGAGGAAAAAAAAGACATATTACATACAGGAAACCAATAATACAAAATTCCACTAATTTCTCTCAAAAGATAGGAGCCAAATGATAACAGAATCACATCTTGAAAGGGCTGAAAGACAACTTTTTACCCATATTTCTATATTCAATGAAAGGCCCTTCCAGAACGAAGACAAAATGATGACATTCAGAGCTAAACAAAAACTAACAGAACTAATCACCAGAAGATTCATACTTGAAGAAATGTTACAGAAAGTTGCTCATGTTGAAGAAAAATGATACCAGATGGAAAATTTAGATGTTCCAGAAGGAATGAAGATCACTGAAAATGGTCAATATGTGAGTAAATTTCAGAATATTTTTCTTTTTGATTAAACAGTACATATGGCTAAAGTAAAAATTATAATATTGCGTGATGAACTTTGTGTCTTCATAGATATAATCCGTATGACAACTAAGAATGAAGGATGAAGGGAGAAGAGGTGGCTGCTGGGTAAGGCCGTCTCTATGAGTCTAACAACCTGCAAGGTTCTTACATTTTACATGAAGTGCTACAATATTAGCCCTAAGTGGACCAGGAGAGTTAAGAATGTGTGTATTGTAATCCCTAAGCAACGACTAAAAATAGTTGAAATATAGCTAAAATGATAACATATAAATTGCAATGGAATTTCAAAATATTTTTTTCCCAAATAAGCCAAAATAAGGTTAAAAAAAAAAGAAACAAATGAATAAAAAACAGATGGGAAGATATAAGACAAATAGTAAAATGGTAGACGTAAACCCAATCCCATCAATACTTACCTTATATGTAAGTAGACTATCTTCTCAAATTAATACATGTTAATACTGGAGGAGGGGAAGTTTTTGACTTGTTTTATGAGTGCAGAATTACTTACTACCAAAGCCTGACAAAAGAAAATAAAAAGAAATTACAGATCAACATTACTCATAAGCATATACAAAAAAATCTTTAACAAAATATTAGCAAATTTATCCAGCAATATATAAAAAAGAGAATACATCTTGACCAAGCAAGATTTATCTCAAGAATGCAAGGTTAACATTAGACAGTTAACATTAGACAATTGATCAGTATAATTTATTATATTAACAGAATAAAGAAGAAAAACCATGTACAATAGACACAGAAGTACTATTGGATAAAATTTAACACAAATTCATTTTAAAATTTCTCAACACATTAGGAATAGAAGGTAGCATCCTTAACCTTCTGAAAGGCACATGTGAAAAATCTACAGCTAACTTCGTACTTTATAGTGGAAGACCAAGTGTTTTTCCTGTGAGATTGGGAACAAAGTGAGGCACTCATTCCCACCACATTTATTCACCATTTTACTGGGCATCCTAGTCAGTGCAATAGAATAAGTGAAAGAAACAAAAGCGTACATTTCAAAAAGGAAGAAGTAAAACTCTATTCACAGATGGCATAATTGTTTATGTAGAAAATCTAATAGAATCTATACAACAATGACTAGAACTAATGAGGGAATTTAGCAAGATTGCAGGATACCATATTCATACAAAAGTTCATTTACTTTTATATATAATCAGCAAATTGTTGGAAATTTAAATGTAAAAATACCATTTTTACTAGCTTCTAAAACTAAGGTATTTTGGAATAAATTTAACATGAGGCATATAATACCTACACCGTGAAAAATGTGAAAATGTTATGAAAGAAATATCTTTATAATTGGAGAGATATTCCGTGTTCATGGATTAAAAGCTTAATAGTGATTCAATATCAGTTCTCCCCAAATTGATACATGGAGTCAAACAAATACCAGTAAGAATTCCACCAGGTTGTTTGGAGAATATGAGAGCTAATTGTGACATTTCTCTAGAAATTCAAAGTACCAAAATATTCAAACCACTCTTGAAAAGAAGAACATAGTTGGACACTTTTTACTGCCTGACTTCAAACACGTCGGGTCTTGATATGCAATGGAAGCAAGTGAGTGGAAGAAGCCAGCACCACCTAAAACCTCTTCTGGTGAGAGTGGCAGCATTCTTGAGGAGTGGGGATGATATTCTAACTACAATGTCTTATACCTGGCTCCAGTGGTATTGGCAGCATGTGCTGGAGATGTACGTCCAGCAGGGTTGCAGTGCTATGCATACTGGACTACTTAGGTGGTGTGACTTTAGGCACTTAGCCTCTAAGTGGTATGCGTGATCCTCCTGATGATACTATGTGTTACCTAATAATCAATGATAAATTCATTTTCTGCTTAAATTAGCCAACGTTGCTTTTTTAAATTAGCAACAGGGAACCCTGACTGATAGAAGTGCTAGGAAGAAAAATAGAAAGGTGAAAGGACAAAGGATGACTGGGGCTGTATTTGGATAAGGGGATAAGAATGAATTTCTTAGCTGGGCACCGTGGCTCACGCCTATAATCCCAGCACTTTGGGAGGCTGAGGCAGGTGGATTACCCGATGTGAGAGTTCAAGACCAGGCTGACCAACATGGAGAAACCCCATCTCTGTTAAAAATACAAAATTAGCCAGACATGGTGGCACATGCCTGTAGTCCCAGCTACTCGGGAAGCTGAGGCAGGAGAACCGCTTGAACCCAGGAGGTGGAGGTTGCCGTGAGCCAAGATGGCACCATTGCACTCCAGCCTGGGCAACAAGAGTGAAACTCCATCTCAAAGAAAAAAAAAAAAAGAATGAATGTCTTGGTCAGGTGTGGTGGCTCACGGCAGTAATCAGTAATCACAGCACTTTGGGGGAACCAGGGCAGATGGATTGCCTGAGTCCAGGAGTTTGACACCAACCTGGGCAACATGGTGAAACCTCGTCTCTATTATTAAATAAATAAATAATAAAGAGTGAATTTCTCTGAGGCGGTGGCATTTAAACAAAGACTCTATTACTCCATTTTAGTTTGCAAAGAAAAAAATACTCTATATGTGTATATATGTCTATGAATAGATAATTGTGGTAGGCTGATAATGGATTCCAAAGATACATCCACATCCTACTCCCTGGAGCCTGTAAATGTTACCTTATATGAAAAAAAGGGTCTGTGCAGATGTGATTAAATTGGAGAACTTGAGATGAAGAGATCATCCTGGATTATCCAGGTGGGCCCTAAATTCATTCAAAATATCCTTACAAGAGACTGGCAAACGAAGATTACACATGGAAGAGAAGAGGCCCAGTGATCCCAGAGACAGAGATTAGGGTGATGCGGCACAAAATGCCAATAGTCACTAGAAGCTTCAAGGGGTAAGAAACAGACTCTTCCCTAGAGCCTCTAGAGGGAACATGATCCTGCTGACACCTGATTTTGGCTCAGTGAAACTGATGTTGAACTTCTGGCTTCCAGGACCTTGTTCTAAGCTACCAAATTTGTGATGATTTGTACAGCAGCCCCAGAAAACGAACACAGTAATAATATTTGATTATAAAATTGATGATCTGAAGGGAGAATGACAGGTAGAGATTAGAGGAAGAGAGTAGGATAGGGATATGAATAGCCTTGATGTAAATTAAAAATAGGTGGACACATAAGAACACAGATTCTTTTTGAGAACATGAAGAACAAGATTTGCATTAAACGTGCAAGAATGATTGCAAATGGGGAGAGGAATGAGAATGGAGATACAAGGAAATAGATGGCAACAGAAATGAAACATTCAGTTGGCAAGATACAGTTGGCAAGATTCGGTTGGCAAAAATTCAGATGGCAAGGTATAATTAGGGATACTTCCTATAAGATGGAGGGGAAAAAAAGAAAAAATAATAACTAGACAGGCGTGGCGGCACATGCCTATAGTCCCACCTACTCAGGAGGCTGAAGTGGGAGGATCAGTTGAGCCCAGGAGGTTGAGGCTGCAGTGAGCCATGATAGTGTCATGGTAGTGGTAGCTTGGACAACAGAGTGAGACCCTGTCTAAAAAAAAAAAAAAAAAAAGAGAGAAGAAAAAGAGAAATAAGTAAGAGGACCAGTTTGGGTGACCCAACATCCACATAAAGCACAGTCCAGAAAGAAAATAAAAGAGGAAATGTAATCATCAAATAAATCGTTCAAGAAAATTTTCCTCTACAGATGTTAGATTGAAGAGAAAGCATAGAGTTAAATGAGATTGGAGAAGCTGTCAGGGGTTAGATCATAAAGATTACATAAGGCTACTTTAGGGAACCTTTGCTAGAGTGAAACTTTTCTCTTTTCTTTTCTTTTCTCTTTTCTTTTCTTTTCTTTTCTTTTTTCTTTTCTTTTCTTTTAGACAGGGTCTTGCTCTGTTGCCAGGCTGGAGTGCAGTGGTGTGATCTCGGCTCACTGCAACCTCCACCTCCTGGGTTCAAGCGATTCCACTGCCTCAGCCTCCTGAGTACCTGGGACTACAGGCGTGGACCACCACGCTGGCTAATTTTTTGTATTTTAGTGGAGATGGGGTTTCACCATGTTGGCCAGGATGGTCTCGATCTCCTGACCTCGTGATCCGCCCACCTGGGCCTCCCAAAATGCTGGGATTACAGGTGTGAGTCACCGCGCCCGGCCTAGAGTGGAACTTTCTGTTCAGAGTGGTTCTCCAGGTTCTCCTTCACAACTCGCCCACTGGGGAATTTTTACATAACCTTCAAGAAACAAGGTAACATCACTTCCTCAGAAAGTCATCCAGGACCCATTTGCCAAAGTAAATGGTTCTTGCAATATGTCTGTATACAACTGATTGCATTATAGTAGATTATTAGTGTGAATTTCATCTGCTAGAAGGTGTGCTACTTGAGGGCAGAGTCTGGATGGGGCTCATTCATCTTTAAATTGATAATGCCTGGCACAAAGTGCTAATTCAGTCTTTTGGTTTGGCTTCATATCAAGAATTTCCCAGTCCTTAAACTTTTATTTATTTATTTATTTAAGAAGGAGTTTCACTTTTTCACCCAGGCTGGAGTGAAGTGGCCCAGTAATTACAAATTTACTATCCACCATCCCATGTATTGGAATCAACCTTGTACAGTGGATCTGAGGCAGATTCTCAGTTGATAAAGCCACCCTCACACAATTCTTTGGGATCTTGCCTCACTGTAACCTCTGCCTCAAACGATTCTCCTGCCTCATCCTCCTGAGTAGCTGGGATTACAGGTGCCCGCCACCACCCCCAGCTACTGGTTTTTTTTTTGTAGTTTTAGTACAGACGGAGTTTCACCATGTTGACCAGGCTGGTCTAGAACTCCTGACCTCAGGTGATCTGCCCACCTAGGCCTCCCAAAGTGCTGGGATTACAGGCATGAGCCACTGCGCCCAGCTAGTCCTAGTCCTCAAGATTTAACACTTCCCAAATGGTAAAAAAGGTGAAAATAAGTGAAACCTATTTTTTGTGCAAGAAAACTGTGAGTGTGAGAGTAAGGTAGTAGCCATCATGTTCATGTGCTAGCTACTAACACACTTTATCGCCAATGCTCACAGCCACCCTACAAGGTAAACATTAGAATCTCAGTTGTACAGATAGAGAAACTGACCTTGTCATCCAAAGTTACACACAACCAGTAAGTGCTCTGACTTGAAACCCTGGCACCTGCCTCCAGAGGTCGCACTCCTAGCCACTTCACCATGCTTCGTTAGTATTCTTGCAAGTATTTTTCGACTACAGGTGCTTCATATTGGTTAATTCATTTCCAGTTCAATAGTGTCTGGCTTCAATAATTACGAACACTACCGCATTTACCCACTGTGAAAAATAATTCACTCTTTCAAAGGGCCTGTATAAACCTAATTTTCTAATTCACTTTTGTGTCTTTCAGTTGACGTACTCCCTACATTTTCTATTTCTACATAAGCTTCCTTTCTTTCCTTTCGTAGGAATAAATGGAACTTATTTTAAGATAGAGGGGGGTACAACTGTATGGAATATAGACTCATCTTTTTTCACTCTCTCTCTCTCACAGAATGAAAAAGGACACCATGATATAGCAGCTGAGGTGGTGTATTAAGATAATGGGGGGGCAAAAAAAAAAAAAAAAAAGAAGGAGCCTTGCTCCACCCCTGCCCCGCCCCCGGCCGCCTCCCGGGGACTCAGAGTCCTGGAAGGCTTTGCGGAGCTACGGGCTGGGCGGATCGCTGCCCACAGGGAGTCGGGAATGCCAGGTTCCAGCTGAGCAGCAGTCGCCCGCCGGAGTGCCAGTGGCTCCTTGGAGGTCGAGTCCAAGGACGTGGCTTGAACCTGGGAGGTGGGGCGCAGGAGTCCACGCACCGGGGATGGACGCGCCGGGTGACCTGGAGGGCCCACGCGCACCAGGAGGTGACCATGAATTGCGTGGCCGGGAGCCCGGAGCCCAGCGGCGGCTTCGGGCCTGTCTCTTTAGCAACGACTGAATTGCTTTTAGCTTGATTCTTTTCCGAGAGATTGGAAAAGGCGGGGGCCTGATCGTGGGGTTCGGGCCAGCGTTTCTTTTCTCTCTGGACGTGGCAAAGTTCCAGGACTGGATGTGTGTCACGGTATCTAATGACTTTCTAACCTATGCCTCTGCTTTTAAGTACTGTGTGTTTAATGCATTCAAATAAGTATGCCATTAGGCAAATGTAAAACGTTACCTTTCAAGTACCCAGTGTTGTTGCCTTTGTTTTTAACTTTCATTTCCCTTTCTCATCTACTACAAACAATGTACAAAGATTCATAAGACTTCCTCATATTGCACAGATTTTTTTTTTTCCTTCTGGACTGCAATGGCAACCTCTGACAAATAGAGCAAAGCAAATATATTTTTCTTAAGTTTTTCCTAAAAAGTTTAATTTATAAATGGCTGATGGATTTGCTTGGATATTTGGAACTCTGAGTAATTGATTTAGTGTTTTTAAATGACAATTTAGCCCTGGAAATAAGTGTTAAATTAGCTGATGCAAAAGACTAGTAATTAGGGTAAGAAAAGTATTGATTTGTGAATTTTGGGACTTGTCTATCCAGAAGCATACCATTGTAAATATTAATTCACCAGCTGAATGATTTCGCTTGTTTTCTCCTACTTACACTTCATTTGACTTCAATATTGCCTGAGAAATCTTTGTGGGTTTTTTGTTTGTTTGTTTGTTTGTTTGTTGATACAGAGTCTCCCTCTGTCGCCCAGGCTGGAGTGCAGTAGCGCGATCTCCGCCCACTGCAAGCTCGGCCTCCCGGTTCCCGCCATACTCCTGTCTCAGCTTCCCGAGTAGCTGGGAGTACAGGCGCCCGCCACCACGTGCCCAGCTAATTTTTTTGTATTTTTAGTACAGACGCGGTTTCACCGTGTTAGCCAGGATGGTCTCTATCTCCTGACCTCATGATCCGCCTGCCTCGGCCTCCCAAAGTGCTGGGATTACAGGCGTGAGCCACTGCGCCCGGCCAGAAATCTTAATAAGTTAACATTACATGCTTGAAACATTGAGTTCATGTAGCATATGATTCAAGTAACTTGAGAAAATAAGGA